AATAAAACGCATACTAAATAATTGTAGTAAAATTTGTTTAAAATACTATCCAACAAGCAACAGGATAGAACTCTTTCATGACAGTAATCCTTATAATATCCTATAATTTTCTTAAAGAAATCAAACTATATTCCAAAATATAACTTCAACAAAACTACAACATAAAACACGTATCTAGTAATCATGTCCACACAAAAGCTGAGTATCATCTACCATGTATTCAATTGTGAAATTAGAAAAACATCATGTTTTTATTACTGCAAAGCTCAGAAGAAAATTAAATTTTGCCATTAAATAACCCATAAGATGTCGATATGCCTTTAAAAAAGAAATCAATCAATCCACTCTTTATTTCGGTTTCATACAGAGCTTGTCTTGTGTCGTTCGATTCTAATCTGCAATTTAAAAAAAATGAATAGCTTAATTATTTAAGACTCCTGTCTAATCTTTTATTTCAACTGATGTTACATCGCTGGAAGATAATGGCGTGCTTAGACTTTTCTTTACAATGAACCTTTATTAGAAGCAGCCTCTATTCTAAAATAAATTGCTGACTTACAAAGAAACAGCTGACCGCCGCCATCAGCACCAGGTTAGCTGTAGTATAAAAATCATAGAAAAAAAAAGAAATAATTTCTTTTGTTTACGATACAACTTTTTTCTTGTAGACTTTATTGTAGCCAACCACAGAATCGTGAGAAATATGGCGTCCCCAGAAGGTATCTTGACATGTGGAGCCTGCAAATATTCACAACCCCTAAAAGTATGGCTGAGTAGGAATTCAGAGGTGGGAGCGTCTTTAAGAAGGAAGCAAGTGCGCTTTTATTGAAAATATGCAATCTTTGTGAACGGTCGAGACGAATTGATAAAAGATCAATAACATTCATATGATTTTCTGTGGATTAACACAAAGTGCCGGATTACTGTCTACTAAGACGATCGAACTCTATGATTCGGTTTCTGCTATTACTTACTAGCAGATACTTAAACACACACACACACATTTATATATATATATATATATATATATATATAAGACAAACTGAGAATATGCACATATGAATATATGTAACAAATATAGTGCTTTGCTTTATATGCACTCATGTGTTTATAAAATGCAATAAAAGTATAATTTCTCTGTGCACATATTAATGCATTTATCTTATGCATTTACTAAATTTAAAGTCGTGCGAACTGTTTTAATACACACACACACACACACATATATATATATATATATATATATATATATATATATATATATATATAATGTCTGTGTGTACGCGTGTGTGTGAATTTATATTCAAAACTAAATAAAGTGTATTTGCAAATTGATACAGACATATTGATGGAAAGCAATAAATATAAAACTAAATTATTCGGAAATTATCTTGGTCTGCAGAATTCGAGTCAAAGTCTATATCAGTTCTGGGGTAAATTTCTTGGTAGATAACCCATTTAAAAAAATAAAAAAATTCTAGGAAAAAAAATTATTATTTATTTTTCTTTTAACAAAAAATTAACATCGATTTCCACAGCAGGAAGACATAAGTACATTTACATTTTAATACATTTAAAAAGAAGATGACATTGTTACTGCTAAATGTTCCTATGGAACATGGTGTCACGACAAATCAAATTTGTTACCTGTGATCCCAAATGCTGGAAATTTTCAATCTCAAAATTCTTTATATTTATGCTAAATTGTTTTCGGTGGCATAAAAAAGAAGTATTCAACTTTGAAATCCAAATACAAAAACACTCGGCGAACCTTTGAAGATGTTATCACAACTGAATTTGATTTGACGTATCATATATCAGTAGAATGTGTGTGAGATAAGATTTTCTTTTGTTATTGCCGTTCTCTTTCCCAGACCATTCCGTGATAAATTTGTTGCGATAACGTAAATGAAAACGAGAACTTCTTTGTATAACAAGCAGTATTAGCTGCACAATCATGTAAGTTTTATATACACTGGCGAGCTAAAGTTTGGGATCAATTATATAAAATTTCTTTTTAATCTCATTTATATATATATATATATATATATATATATATATATATATAATATCATATATATATATGATCATCTTTGCCATAATATTATATATATATATATATTTATTAAAGACATTTTTATGTTTAACGTTCTTTTTTATAGATACAAGTATTTAAGTAAATGCTCTGTTTATAATAAACAGTATTAAATAACATTTACCGGCCTGAATGTCCGAGAAATTTTCATAGAAAATATTCGTTCTTTGACAGGATTCGAACCTGCATCCTATACGGAACCGTCATTTACGCTGACGTGCCTAATCTCTCGGCCACAAAGGCAATGTCGAATTTACTGCTTATAAACTTCAATCTTCCATGAATCTCGTACATTCATAACTGCTCTGGCGTATCAAATGTAAACAAATGATTATGTGCTAACTCCAGCAATAAGGGAATATTTGATAATAATAATAAAATTAAATATATAAAGACTTTAGAACTAAGCAATCTTGTAGTAAATTTAGAGTATTTAGAAAAGAAACAAAAGAAGTTAAAAATAAACAGAAATACTGTAAGCGTAACGTCATATAGTTTAATCCACCTTTTAATCGCCAGGTTCAAATAAATATCAGAAGTTTCTTAAATTTAATTCATAAGCACTTTAACCATTCACCAACACTAAAAAAGATGTTTAACAAAAATAGTGTTAAGGTTAAATATTAAGTTAATATCACAGACAAATAACATAACAACATTATCTTAAACAAATATATTTCCAACAAAGATAACGTAAATCTTTCTACAAAAATAAATGCAACTGCCGAAAAATATGATCTGTCCTTTAAACAGCCAATGTATGACTGATAATATTGTATGTTGAGCTAGCATACATTCCCATATCGGTGTTAAATTTTATTTTGGTTCTACTGAAAATTTCTGTTAGTACGATCATCGAATGAAAAAAAAAACTGCTCTTTCTGGCAATTAAAGAATAATGATAATTCACCTTTTATCAACAAGGATATTACCGCAAAAGCCAAATCTTATAACGGGAAAGGAAATAGATGTAACTTATGTCTTGTTGAACAATTGGTTGTCTAAAAACACTTAAATAATCCTAGATTATTAAACAAGAGGAATAAATGATCGATTAATTTTTTTGATACCGGATTAATATAAAATAAATTTTAATTTTAATATAAATTACGGACTTTGTTTTGCAGTTTAATATAAAATAAGGATTTAATATTCACAACACTAATATATATATATATATATATATATATATATATATATATATATATATATATATATATATATGTATAGTCGACTCTCCTGTCGAAATTCGATGTATGAGGGTCAAGCAGATCAGTTTTCAGGAAACCGACAGCCCGACACCGGCACATGAGGTTTGATTATAATGGTGATGGCTTCGTGCAGGACCATCCACACTTTTTTATATATATATATATATATATCAAATCCCGTTTATTTTAAATGCTAAATATATTTTTGGAATTGAAAACTGTAATCACAGTATAATTTATAACTGCACCAACATTGCAATAACCGAATATATTCTTTAATTTAAATTGCGTAAGGCCCAGCACCTGAAGATCGCGTTGTGCATGAAACTGGAAAGGAAAGTTCGTCAGTACAATTACCATAAAAGTATTTATAGAAAAGACACAGGGAAGCTACGTCACAGTGATGGGAAAACCTGGTAACATTGCAGATTCTTCTTTAGATTTTATCTAGAATCTATAAATGTACAGAAATAGTGCCAGAACATATGTGGCAGGAATATTCCAAGTAAGGACGAATAGTATTAAACTTTATAACAAGTAGAGTACGGCATTGTCCGTCTTCAGAACTGACTCTCTGCAGACTTTTGGCATTTGAATGACTATAAAAGCACTTTATCTACTTTGTAGATAACTCTATATAAAACATCGCTAAAATTCAAAGCCTGTCTGTTTACAGCCTTCAAAGTTTTATTGTCTTTTAACACCAGAGTTTTTAGCCTTTGCTCTTCGTCACGCATATGACCTGATCCACGGCACAATATAGTATCATGGAAACAATGAAATCACACGTATTCCCTCTTTGGCTATGAAAAGATACGAACACTTGAACAAGCCGAATACACTCTTCTCTTAGTAACTCGCCATTACGAATAATGTCGACTTTTTTTTATTTTCAAGAAAGCAGACGACCAATTGTTATCTGTGGATGAGCTGTATACAAATTTCCTGTGTCTACTGGAAACTCTCCAATCATTCAATCACCTATCAACTTTCAACGGTATGAACGACAAGAAGTTCAGCAATTATACACTGGAGGAACTGGGTATGTGCCTAATTTCACTTGTGTGTAGAGATTGAGCATTTAAAGAATATGCGCTTGATCAGTCAGTTTGGACAGGGCTGGAAAATCGAGCTCCAGACAGTCAGTAAAATAAAATTAATTACATCATGAAAATATCAGTACACGATACGAGAGTTTTTATTTTATCAGAAATTATTTTCTGATTATTTCCCGTAAATTTATTTTGGAAAAAAGAGCCACTCCTCACTTAACGACCGAATTGCATACTAACGACTTGGTCGCTAAACGAGCTGGTCGCTAAGCGAGAAGTTGTATTACTACACTGTTAATCAGTTCCGGGTCGCTTTAAGGCCACTTTTGAATCAATGAATCATAAAAATTAATATGGAATGAATAAATGCTAAACACGTCAAATAATATATTGTATGGATCATTTATAACAAACTAAATACAGTATACTTTTACGGCTTACCAACCTTTTTCAGATTATTTAATGCTAAAAAATATGTTCAAATTGTTAGAGATAATAATTATTTTTATTGATACAAGTCCTATAAATCAAGCTGGAGGAGGAGGAGAGGTGAATTCATAATTTTACCAATGATATTTGTGCATAAATGTATAGAACAAATCCGATATGACCGTAAGTCCATTATACCACCCGCAATCCAAGCTTACAGCACCTGCTATTCCCAAGCGGTCACCCATATAGATACTGACCAGACTCAACGTTGCTTAACTTTGATGATCGTGCGAGAAACTATGTTTCGATGTGATATGGCCGAAAGCACATTATACGACCCGAAATCCAAGATTACAGCACCTGGTATTCTCGAGCGGTTACCAATTTAGGTACAACGATATGTCTACCATTCGACCAGACTTGACGTTGCTTAACTTTGATGATCGTACGAGAAGCGATATTTCAACGTGATATAGCCGTAATTTTTTTTATACAACCCACAACCTAAGCTTACGGCGCCTGCTATTCCCAAGCGGTCACCCACCTGTCCAGGTTCGACCTTGTTTAACTTCGGTTTAAGCAAGGTTTTGCTTGATCGTACGGGAACCAATGTTTCAACATGATTTGGCCGTAAGTCCGCAAACCATAAGATGCTACAAAATACTAACCTGAAAATGAGTCAATTTTTTTGAATAGTCTCGTCATTAGGTTTTGGTGATTGGTTTTGCTTAGCGTCATTTCAAACTCTCTGTGTTATTTAATGCTGAAATCAAACTTATAGCACCTAGTATTCACAGGTAGTTACCCATCTAGGTACTGACCAGGCTCGTCGTTTCTTAACTTCAGTTATCTTACGGGGACTGATGTTTTAAGGTGTGTCGTAAGCCTACAGCCTCGTCAGATCTAGACTCTCATGTGGATGTCATCTATAGCATCCAACCCATTCAGAGATGTCTAAATTATCAGCTATATACAACCGTTTTCTAAGATCAATGATTAAAAATGGCTTGAAATGAATGAATCATTTCGGTCTTAAAGAAGATGATCTTTCTTCAGACCTTACAAAAGAGCTATACGTATTCTACATCACTAGAAAATTTTCATCAGCAACAACAACGAAAATATGTCTACCATTCGTCCATGCTTAGAATATTGCTGCCATATATGTTCAGTCCTCCTGCAATCTATCTAGAGCTTCTTGATAAAGCCCAAAGAAGAACCAGCAATATTATTAGCCCTGATCTGGCTACTCAGCTTCAGTCACTTTCCCACCAAGGTAAGATTGTCTCTCTTTGCCTTTTCTATGTTCAGTCCTCCTGCAATCTATCTAGAGCTTCTTGATAAAGCCCAAAGAAGAACCAGCAATATTATTAGCAATATTATTAACCCTGATCAGCTTCTGTCACTTTCCAAAGTTAAATTGTCTCTCTTTTGCCTTTTCTATGTTCAGTCCTCCTGCAATCTATCTAAGCTTCTTGATAAAGCCCGCCATTATTAGCCCTGATCTGGCTACTCAGTCAGTCTTTCCCACCAATGTAAGATTGTCTCTCTTTGCCTTTTCTATGTTCAGTTCCCAATCTATCTAGAGCTTCCAGAACCAGCAATATTAAGATTGTCTTTCCCACCAATGTTTGCCTTTTCTATGTTCAGTCCTCCTGCAATCTATCTAGAGCTTCTTGATAAAGCCCAAAGAAGAACCAGCAATATTATTAGCCCTGATCTGGCTACTCAGCTTCAGTCACTTTCCCACCAATGTAAGATTGTCTCTCTTTGCCTTTTCTATGTTCAGTCCTCCTGCAATCTATCTAGAGCTTCTTGATAAAGCCCCAAAGAAGAACCAGTCAATATTTGTCTCTTTGCCTTTTTCCCTGATCTGGCTTGATAAAGCCCTCAGCAATATTATTAGCCTGAGTCACTTTCCCACCAAGGTAAGATTGTCTCTCTTTGCCTTTTCTATGTTCAGTCCTCCAATCCTCCTTGATAAAAAAGAAGAACCAGCAATATTAGAGCCCTGATCTTGACTAAAGTCACTTTCCCACCAAGAAGAATGTTCAGCAATATTATTAAAGCCCAAAGAAGCCCTGATAGCCCTGATCTGACTACTCAGCTTCAGTCACTTTCCCATTGTCTCTCTTTCCACCACCAAGGTAAAGATTCTCTCTTTGCCTTTTCTATGTTCAGTCCTCCTGCAATCTATCTAGAGCTTCTTGATAAAAAGCCCAAAGAAGAACCAGCTTCAATCACTTTCCCACCAATTAGTCCCTTTGCCTTTTCTGGTCCTCTATCTATCTAGAGCTTCTTTAAAGCCCAAAAGAAGTCACAATATTTTCCCACCTAAGGTCACTTTCCCACCAAGATTGTCTCTCTTTGCCTTTTCTATGTTCAGTCCTCCTGCAATCTATCTAGAGCTTCTTGATAAAGCCCAAAGAAGAACCAGTCCTCCTGCAATCTATCAATATTATTAGCCCTGATCTGACTACTCAGCTTCAGTCACTTTCCCACCAAGGTAAGATTGTCTCTCTTTGCCTTTTCTATAAATACTTTCAGGATAATTGTTCGCATGAGCTTCTCGCTATGGTGCCTAGACTCTTCGAATTTAAGCGCAGTGCTAGTCTGGTGATTAATCTGGTTGAGCTGCCTAGATTTAACCATAAATTCTATGCTAACAGTTTCTTCTCTGGCATTTCTCCCTTGCGAGACGCCCTTCTGGTTCCATGCTTTCTAGCCAAATTTAATCTGCAAAAATTGAAATGCAATGTCAATCGCTATCTACTGTCATCCTGATTACTCCCCCCACCCCGTTCTCGCACCTTGGCAATGTTCATGTTTCTAACTCTTCCACGTCTAGCATCCCTTTGTATCTTGCTGGCATTACTTCCTTATTTGAACTTGATAAAAAAAAAAACACTAGAAGGAAAAATAATATATTCAAGATAGTGACTTTCCACGCCACCTTAAACAAAAGCTTTGAGAGGAAACTCCCATCAATGCTAGAAAGAGCGATAAGAGTTTGTGGACTTGATAAATCTGATTTCCTGAAAAAATCTTTTAATAAAAATATTTAATAGATTTCAATCGGCAATAATACTAACTTTCCGGTAAATGAATGTCGAATGTTTCCTGTATAGAAATCGCTATTCCCACCATTACATTACCATTTCTTCAGCTATCTGGGGATAACGTTTACTTTACCTCGTTAATGCAACGGGACGATGTACTGTACTGTACTGATGCGGCATTCACCCTGGGCGGATTGAGCCGGCTTCTTCCTGTTATGAGAAGAAGATTCTTGGGATAAATTACAGAAGTAGGGTACCCAGGCCTACTCGGATAACGTTCTTGCTTGCCGCGGGGTTCCCACAGACGCAGAGACAGGAACGACCAGAAGCCGCCGGTTACCGATGCAGACGCTCCTTGGATTTTCACCAGAGCCCTTGTTAGCCGGCGTGTGTGTCTGACCTGTCCGCCTTGGGTGGCCCTACCAGGAACGAAGTTCCGGGCGGCATAGCTCTGACACTACAGTTTACCCCCCCCCACACCGACTGTGAGGTAAGGGTTGGACTTTGGGGGCTTACAGTACCAGGGACGATGACGTCTGCGAGGCGAGATTATTATGTCTGATCCCTTCAGTATATACTTCTCCGGGATTCGTTGAACTGATTATTGCGACACAACGACCTGGTGACTGTTTGCCTTCAAAAATCCTTACGTGATTTTTATACTGATGTTCGCCTAATAGAAGAGCCACTCAAAGCAGAGTTACTTTGTGGCGTTGTCTGAACGTAATAGAAGGCAATAAGAGCAGTTCATGAAGTTATTTAGAAAAGATAACGGTTAACCCTAAACTTGAAGAAATCAAGATTGTAGTGATGGGGAAAACATCGTGCAGAGATTCTGTTCCGCAAATCAGCAGTTCTTGGGGAAAAGTTGTATGATTTTCTTGAATGTGCGATGGTATAATGGATAACGGTTCGTGATTGGAAATTGGAGAGCCGAGTTCCAATTCCAATCTGCTTCGTTATATTCACTTAAGCGCAAAGACCCTTGGGAAAGGCATGAATCCACTTCTCCCACAGTTATCGGTTAGTTGGTAGGACTTATATTAGTAAATCATTAATATCGTTCAAAAATTCTTACAATCTAAAATTATTTTCTTGTCTTAAATAACCTGCAAAAAGATTGATAAAAAAACAATCAATCAAATTGAGATTCTATTTGATGTAATATTCCAAAATGAAAGTCTTTCCATGAGAAAAGGAGAGCTGAAAACGAATTGATCACGAATCACAACTAAATAGGCTATTGTATGAATCCATTTGATTGCATTACATTTTTATACTAATGTTCCCTGAATACAAGTCCTGAGAGCCACTCAAGGTAGATGATTACTTTATAAGAAATGGAAGTTCACGAGGGCTATGCAGGAAATATAACGATTAACCCTAGACTTGAAGAGGTCAAGATTGTAATCGCTGGGAAAACATCTTGTCGGTAGTCTGTTCAACAAAACAGCAGTTCTTGGGAAGAAGTTGTCCGAGTAGAACATACTAATGAGATACGAAGAAAACGAGGATACTTCATATGGATCTACGGGTATGGCGGGTCCCAGCTGCAAAGGTTAGGATTGGTACAGCAATGGATTATAGCTCGTCAGAACACTTGCCTTGGAAATAGCGACGGAATAGTTAGAAGCTCGCAACGTTTTATCACTGAGCGAGGGGTTGCAGGATGGAAAATAACGCATCACCCACAAGGCCGCGTAAATACTTTTGAACTTCGTCAAGAGAGGACTAGCATCTAAATATGGGATCAAAATTTTTTTTGTCTGATCTCGCTCTTGTAAAGATAGAGTATAGAAGTAGAACGAGGTACTTATCGGAACGATACAATGAACCGACGAACATTTTTAGCAATAAATCGTACCAGGTTTAACCGCAAAATTGTCAAAATCGTGTAACAGTATGCGATAATTGTCCGTCCAACAAAATGTTCAATATCTAAAAAAAAAAAAAAAAAAAAAAAAAAAAAAAAAAAAGGGTTTCCAGATAAGACGTTTAACAACCCTGGGATCATTTGTCGTAAGAATCACTGAAAAAAAAAGTTTAGTCATTCAGCTCGAAAGAGAACAGGTTAAAATCGTTTTTTGTCAGCTCTACTGTCTTCTCAACTGAGCAATAGTGAGAGGAAAAAACCATTAAGGCCTTCAGCTATGGTACCAACATTCATACACTGACCCCCATTCAAGAACCATCCAGAGAACGGTCAATAATTTAAAAAAAGGAAACTAGTAGAGGGGAAAACTAGATCAGGAGGTCGCAACATGAAGAGGGATCATTATTTCAACTTAGAGGTAAAACGATCAATTAGAAAAGATCCAACTCAGCTCGTAAGACGTTTGGTACGTGAGAGAAAAGTGAAAAAAGACTCGAAAATGAAATCTACGTGTGAGGTAACTTTTTACTCCAGCAGAGAAAGCTAGAAGGTTAGAACTTTATTACAATCCTTCATGAGATTCCGATCCTTAGCTATGATTAATTAATGATGAACATGTCATTTTCGTTTATGATCGGTTTCATCACGATTCTTCTGTTAAGCTTACAGAGTAATTATACATTCTCAAAGAAGAGCTCAAAAGTGTTATAAAAATCTCGGAGAATTCCAGTAATATATCTTTAATCATTTCTAAGATACACCTAACAATTGGACAATTTTGCTGTTACATCTAGTATATATGAGTTTTAGTTGAGGTCTTCCGTGAGCTTGATTTCTAATAGACTTTCAAGGCAAGGAGCCTCCTTGAACGAACAGCCATCAGTCATGATAGGTGAAAATTCAATTTCTGTTTGATGATGTTGGAACGTTACTAGTGTGATTTTGAAGGTATCACTCGTTACAAGACAGTCCTTCCCCCATTAAGTCACCATGGCACGGTCAAAGGCGAGGTCAGTTGCCAGGTTCTGGCCATCGAGATTTTTGGAGGTGGACTTATAAACTATTCAAACTTATATTGTTAAATATAACAGACAAAGAATGTCTATTATGTTTGATCGTGAGCCGTTCTAAGCTTCGTATATTGGCTTTAGTTTCGGGAGAAAATAAAGACAAACACTGTCCAACATTTAGACGTTTTTTTATTATGCTGTTTCTTGATTTAAGCTTTCGGTTCACATGAGCCATCATCAGTTTTTATATGGACATTACAACAAAGATGACATCCTATTATGATTATATAGAAGTTTGCTCTGCGAGGAAAACGGTCGCAGAAATACGGTTCTATGATGTCGTACATGACTACGTGAAAGAACCATGTGCTTAAATACATTGTAGTATGTTGTGAGTGGTTTGAAATGTAATTTTGTTGAGTGTCGGTTGCTTTGTTTTAATATAGATGGCCTTCAATACCTTAGGGTTCTTTTTACTGTGTGTATGTGTGAGTATCGTTGTGTTATTAAAAATATCTGTCTAATATTATGTACATGACTATGTTTTTCTAAGAAATGTTGTTTAATGGAACTAAGATCAGAAACGTGACAGGTAAGTCTACGGGAAAGCGTGGTTGTAGTAAAGCCAATATATGTAGTGGGTTTAATTATTACTATCAGTATTAAACAATATTTCTTAGAAAAATATAGCCATGTTCATAATATTAGATAGATATTAGTTGATAACACATCTGTTAGAAAGGACTTGATAACTAAGAAATCCCTTCTAGAGATTAGATAGCTGGAGAGTTTATATAGCAAATACCGATGCCTTACCTTCTCAAAGACCTTTGCATATATCAAGGCGATGGTCCGCGTGGGGAATTTATTACACTGTGCCTCGTTGATTGTGAATAATAACAGTTAAGATATAAGTTGTTTTTACGTTATTAGCACACGAATCTTTATTTTTGGTTGGCTAATGCGCCCTAAAAAACAGGAGAGAATATCACCCCGTGTGATATACATAGGGAGCCGTTTGCAAAAAGGACAAACTTAAAAACGGACACGATATTTTAACTATTAAGAACTAGCAAAATCTAACATAAATCAGTATAATTTTCTTCCTGTGTATAAAGATATGACCCCACCCACAAAAAGACGCCAATTTATAAAATGGATATTTTTATTGCTATCTCTTTTTAGGAGACGGGCGATCATGACTGTCCATATATTCCTTTTCTTTATCATACTTATTATAAAACCCAGGTTGTGTGTGTCTGTGTCTGTACGTTTATATATTGGATTGGATTTCCTACATTTTTTCAACCGATTTCAACAAAACTTCACAGGACTACGTAAAATTACCTTGCGGTGGTTCTGACAGCGTAAAAAATTGGAAAAACACAATTGTTTTTGCACAAAATCAATTTGAAAACACGATTAAGAGGCATCGCTGTCGCCAGAATGAAAGGGGGACAAATCATATCGAGTTTTACTTATTATAAAACCCAGGTTGTGTGTGTGTGTGTGTGTGTGTGTGTGTGTGTGTGTGTGTGTGTGTGTGTGTGTGTGTGTGTGTGTGTGTTCGTTTATATATGGGATCGGATTTCCTACATTTTTCAACCGATTTCAACAAAACTTCACTTTTTTGGCAGGTAGTGTTTCTTATTGTCTTGCACACTTTTTTTCTTTATTTTTACATTCAGAATGCATTAAAAATTCCATTTACAAGACAATTGTTTATAACAAAATTCTATTCAATCGGTAGACTCATAACGATTGAAAACAATGTTTTTGTTTGAGTTTGGGTTTGGCCAATTCGAAATTTGAATAATCTTTGTCAATTTTATTTTTCAGTCTTTATGATGGTCGATACTTGACCTATCTCTTACTGTTACATCCTCGGGAAACGCCGGGCTCTACTGCTAGTTATCTCAAAATTGGTGAGTGGACAGACATTTTTGCTATGTCTCTTTAGAACATAGACGATCATGACTCTCCACGTAATCCTTTTATTTATTATCTGTAAATTGTAGAGTAGACAGACCTGATTACCGTGTCCTTTTAGGACATGGGCGATAATGATTGCCTATATTTTCTTTCCCTTATTACCTATGCATACTTTGGAAAGAGGTTCAGGGAACTGAAATCAAGAAAAGTAAGAATTCACATGTTGCAGGGTAAGAACGGAGTGAAAATTCTCAGCAGCTACCCTTGGGTCACACTGGTCATGATGGAACACGTATAGCCTTTTCTTTGCCATTAACCTCGATCCAGGCGCTGACTATTGTCTTTACCACCTCATTGCCGTCAGCGGCAATGATAACGACGCCTTGAGTGAATCAATGCATCACAATGTAGTAATCTATACTTATGATCCCCTAGAAAATCACAGTTGATATGAAATCAATGTGCAGCACTGTGGCTACCTTCGAGGGATTTGTGCCCCCCTCTGGTCCTTGGGATTTTATTTCATTGGAAAGGAACCATAGCTTGTTTACGGAGCATGTTCTATCATCGCTTGATTAGTTCGTTCCACCGATTGTTGCAGTACATTGACTACTCTGTTCGAATGACAGAACTAATTTCAACACGGAATTAATTTCAACTCGGAAATAATTTCAACTCGGAAATAATTTCTAATCGGAACTATTTTCAAGTCGATTTAAAAACCCTAACCCTTATTTCCGAGTTGAAATTAATTCTGCATTCCCTCTCTTCATATCAGATTCAAACTCTACCCAAAGTCGTTGTGTACCACATATCTAATAATTGACTCTGCACAGTAATGGCCGTCATTGACATGTTAACATCTGAGTTGATAATACCCTGGACTAACTCGACTGTGTCGTGCTTACGACGTCTGACCGCTTAAAATTGTTATTTTCTTTTGGCCACGTATGCTACATGCTCGCCAGTGTCCTCAGACCTTAAACACGAATGATCTGGTCACATTCAAGAAGTTTGCCATAACAAAGTCGCCGGATGGCGGCCAGTGTCACAAACATGGTGTGCTTTATCATTTGTCAGACTGAAAGCTGTTGATATCAATACGCCTGCAAGAGAATTGTGAATGTTACGATTTGGTGTTTTACTCTCAGTAACCGCTTGCGTCTTAGTGACTTTATTACCTTGTTTAGGGTATAATGATTAAAAGTAAGTAATAAAATAGATATGGAACAATATTCAATTCACAAGGAAGGTTATAGATTTATAAAGGTGCGAAATTGATTCTGGTGAGAAAACTTCATATATTCTTTCTGTGATAAGTTTATAAATTCTCCGATTATGTATCTGATTGTAGCATTCTGTTCTCTATACCGTCTACATTTACTGTTTACTTGTGTTTTATCTTCCTTGACCTTTATAAAGTTTGTGCTTACAGCGTTCTATTGGCATGCTATTAAAAGCGGCTCGGTTTTTTTTCCTAGGTTTTCCCAACGTACTCATGTAAAGTTTTCGCAGACAGATTGTTCTAAAACCTTAAATGTGTTATCTTGGACAACAGCCAAGTGCTATCTATGATAAAATGGTAAAACAAGAAAATCGATAGAGGAATTATAGACTTATGAGTCTGCCCACATCAGAAAATTTAAATCGAGACAAGCAACTTCAAAAATGTCTGCTCTTTCATCGATGTTAATATATTTGTCTCAAATCCGTTGCTGATTGGAATTTATGCAAACAATTAGTTGCTGTTTGTTAGTTTCTTATTCGATACATGTCCAATCTGCTTATGAAAGGGTTGCAATGATGCTGTTCAATGCGACTCGTTACATACGCACGCAAAATACCATCGAATAGAAATATAATGTCGCTTTCTTACATTCTCTTGACTGATTCTCACTTCTTCAGGAACGAGCTCAGTCAGTTTTATTCATTTCATAAAGATTCTAAAACTTGGCCAGTTTGAAAGCAAAAGGAACTACAACATCCTTCGAATGATTTCAGATGACGAAACAGTAAAGGTGACAAACTCCCGTAGAAGTATTTCAGATTACGAAACAGCCTCAGCGACACCCTTCCTTCGAATGATTTCAGATGAGGAATCAGTAACGGTGACAATCTTCCCCAGAATGATTTCAGATGTCGAAACAGCCACGACGATTCCCTCCCCTCGAATGATTTCATATGTCGAAACATCCACAGCGAAACCCTCTCATCGAAAGTTTTCAGATGACGAAACGGTAATGGTGACAATCTCCCCCAGAATGCTTTCATTTTACGAAACAGCCACGGCGACACCCACCATCAGAATTTCAGATGACGAAACAGCTACGATGGCAGCCTCCCTCCGAATGATTTCAGATGACGAAACAGCTACGATGGCAGCCTCCCTCCGAATGATTTCAGATGACGAAACAGCTAGGATGGCAGCCTCCCTCCGAATGATTTCAGATGACGAAACAGCTACGATGGCAGCCTCCCTCCGAATGATTTCAGATGACGAAACAGCTACGATGGCAGCCTCCCTCCGAATGATTTCAGATGACGAAACAGCTAGGATGGCAGCCTCCCTCCGAATTATTTCAGATGACGAAACAGCTACGATGGCAGCCTCCCTCCGAATGATTTCAGATGATGAAACAGCCACGTCGACAGCCTCCATCCGAATTATTTTAGATGACGAAAAGCCCATTGACTCCATCTCCGAATCCTTTCAGGTAACAAAACAGACAGCGATTTCCTCTTCCACCTAATGATTTCAGGTGACCTAACAGCAATAGTGACTCCCTATGATCCTTCCTTTCAAATGATTTCAGGTAAAGAAAATGCTGCGATGACTTCCTCCTTCCGAATGATTTCAGATAACTAAACACCCAGACACAGCGATTCCCTCCCCGCGAATGATTTCAAATAACGATTCAGCCACAGTGAATCCCTCCGTTCTACACAATTTGTTCGTTCAGATTAAACAGAAACTTCGAGAAAAGAATTTCCTAACCGAAAATGACCAAACCATTTTTGGCATGTCCAGGCACTTGAAGCTTCGTTTCCATACAAAGAGCAACCATTTCTTGCCGCTTCCATTGAGGAGACCTCTTTAAATTCATACAGCATAGAGATTCAGATGCATGTCTGATTTAAATTCATTTTTAAAATGTTAACATTGATACCAAATTTGCTTACTCTATATTATGTAATTTACAAAGAAATAAAAAAAATATTAGAATGTAAAAATTAATGATAATTTTACTGTAATATATCGATACATGTACCCACAAAGTACTCATGTAAAAAATGTGTCAGGAATTTTTTTTAGCGGTCGTAACTCCAACTAAATGCTGCAACATCTCATTTTTAGAGACGGTATCTCTTTGTCGTTGACAATGACCTTCCTCTGTCAAGTAGGTGTAAGATGTTGTTTGAAACAGCACTGTGCCGTTGTATGTGCTACTTCACCATCTCCCTGCATTCCAAACGAGGGCGTCCGTTTATTCAAATGAAATATGTAAAGGAGCGTCGTTTAAATCCCCCACCCCGTGGAATATGCCTTAACCACACAGTTAAGTGGTGGAAAGGATCCAGAGGTTTTTTGGCTTCTATAGTTAATTTGCCAATGCGAAAATGTTATACCTATATACATAGTTGTAGCCTCTGTCTGTCTGTCTGTCTGTTTGTTATCGAACTCCTCCTAGGGTTTTGGATATAGACCCCCATAACCGTATACACTCTGAAACTACATTACCCAGGCTAGTTGGATAAGTATATTTCATTTTGATTAAAGAGGGTACTGGGGGGAAAAAACCCACCTAAAACGGTTTCCCTTTCATATATATTAAATTTAAGTTTCACATCAGTTTCAAACTCTACCCGAAGTCGTTGATTTTTTTTTCCGTTTAATTTAAATTAAATTTAAATTTGAACAAGGAAATGGCACCTATCCAAAATATAAAAGAAGAAAGCCAAAAGATGGTGGTAACATCTGCAAGATCATTTTGATCAAAAGGGTCTCTCCTTTTGTTGACAAACAAATCCACTGAAATTTTATTCACTTTGATTTAAATTAAATTTAAATTTGAAAAGATAAATGACTTCTATCCAAAATACAGAGGGAGAAAGCCAGAAGATGGAGGTCATATCGGTATGATCAAAATGAGACAATATGGACGCCACAAATCAGTGTGTAGTGCCTTACCATATATATCTGTTGTGACAATTCAACTGCCATATCAATGTTGAAATCTGTTCATCAATTCATTCAATGAAGTATTGCATCAAATACACAGCAAAGGGATCAGATCAAGCTGTTTTTGTACACACACACACACACACAGATACACTGAAAATTTTCCCGTTTGATTTAAATTAAATTTAAATATTGAACAAGGAAATGACTCCTGTCCAAAATATAGACGGAGAAAGCCAGAAGATGGAGGTCACATCGGCAAGATCATTGAGTAATATTGAAACGCATCATTTTTCTCCACAAATTATAACAATGATTTAAAATCAATCATCATTTTCTTACAAAAAAAATGGGCGACAAGCAGCAAGGCGCAGGTAATTCGGCTAGTATCTTATATAGCACAAAGAAATGAGAATAATTGTACAGTGTAACCCGGATATAAGAGAGTTGTCGGGACCGGAGAATAAGTCTCTTATATCCGGGTTTGGCTTATTTTATATACATTAACACAGGCTCTAATTTGGGACCAGATAAAATCTCTCTTATATCCGGGTTTCTCTTATATCCGGGTCTCTTATATCCGGGTTACACTGTACAAACAACTCATGGAAAGCTGTAGAGTAGATTGGCTGAACTGTTTTAAAAACGGCATAAATACCACAAAGAAAGGGATACAATTGTTAGAACAACTCCGAGAAGTATATTTATTCTCAAATTTACAGAAGATGTCTTCCATATGGACTGTAAACATGCAGAAGACCGTAGAATAGATGTACTGAAACGTTGTGGGAATAACATAAACATCTCAAAAGATAGGTACGATATTACAGACCGCTTTTTAATATATTCGATTGCACAGGTGTCGGTTTTATCTATTTCTGTTTTGGAGTCTTTATAGTTTGTTTTTTTTTCTATTTGCAAAACGCTATTTAAACTTAATATTCTATTTGTCTTTTCAATAAAATCTTTCTCTGATTATGGCCAGGAAACGAAGAACTGTGAGAGAATATATCGGCCACAAAAATAGACAAAATATTTCATAGAAAAGTAATGTATAAAGAAAAAAACAAACTAGTAAAAAAAAAATCGAATGAAAGGCGGAACGAGTGAAACATTTATTTATAGTACGTCATCCTCTTTCAAAATTTTAAGTAGGAAAACAGAAAAGGAAAGACAACAAGCAACAAAAACAATTTGGTTAAACACAGGCAAACAATAAAATCAGGAAAAAAAACGACCCCATTATTTTTCTTTTCGAAAAGATATCTATTTATTCAGTGTTGGTAGTGCTTCCAAAAGAGGTCTTTATCCTCTTCATTTAAATATTTTTTACGCTTTATTGTTCGACTAATATTATTTTATTATTCATTCAATATTTTCTTCTGAATATCTTCTGCTTGTGCACACAACACCACACACACACACATACTCATATATATATATATATATATATATATATATATATATATATATATATATATATATATATATATATATATATGAATAAAGACAAAAGGAAAACGTATCTTCGCCGACGAGTTTCGTCTTCTGTAGGTCTTTATCAAAGCAAATGCAAGGATTTTATTCTGTAACCAGTATTTATATACAAGAGCAAAAATATTATTGCATTTTCAACATTTTTTAGCTAGGAACGCTCATCAATATTTATGAAGTTAGCAGAAACGTCAGGCAAGTTATGGGGAACGCGAAGTGATAAAAATAAATGTCTAATAAACCAAAGTGATTTTTATTTATTTTTTTTGGAAATTTTGTGCAAATTAGTATTTAAATTAATTTAGTTTAGGATCATTTTATGTGTTTTATAGGTTTAACCGTTTTCTTTTATTTTTTTTTAACATTTTTGTAGTAATGTATTTTGGATTGGGAAAGTAGTAATTCTTTCAGGAATGAGATATTAGAAAAAAAACCGAGGCGCCAATTTATCTTTTGATAAGATTCGATAGTAGCACTCTCGAAAATCTTCTTTCTAAGTGAGTTACTTTCTCTTTTGATAAGTGTGGCATTCTTTAGATTAAAGTTGTAGTTGAATTTATTTCTGCATAGATTATATGTTTATTAGATATTGATTTTGTATCACTTCACGTCTTCCATACATTTCAGCTAACCTAATGAACTCAAAATCTTTGAAAAACCAATAACATTTTCGCTCATGTATATAAATACTTGTTACAAAATAAAATCCTTTCATTTTTTTTTTAAGCTTTTTAAGGCGGGAGTGCCACTAGCACGCAAGGGGTTACAGAAAGTGGGAGTAAAGAGTCGCGAAAGAGGAAAGGATCAAGAGAAGGACGAGGAATAGGCCAAGGCATCTGGAGATGTCGATTGACATTGCATTTGAATAGTTGGAGATTATAGCTATCAGGGAAGCAAGTAAGAGGAAGGGAGTTCCGCAGACGGGAAGTGCGAGACATGGAACTATTGGAGTAGAAGAGACGGCTACATTTAATCATTTCGACAGTGAAATGTCGACCTACATGGCACGTTTAAATTCATGCAGTTTGAGAACCAGCGAAAATAGCTCCTCGTAGCAGTTACCTTGAAAGTATTTACAGAAAAGACAGAGGGAGGTGACGGCACGTCTGTGAGACAGTGACTGTAGACGAGATGCCAGGTCAGGGCCAACCACATTGCATATCCGTCTCTGGATTTGCCTTGATAAAGTCCTAAGGAAGACGAAACGCTTCAACTACGTTTCGCCATTTGTCTTTATTCATATTGTCTTTTTACAGATATACTCTGTGTCTGAAATTATATATATATATATATATATATATATATATATATATATAATTAGAAAATCAACCGATTTCGCTACCTTGGTTTCAACCTTTCGGTATCGATTTCGGTCAATTGATTTCCAAACGCCTTATTTTTTTGAAAAATAAAAAATTAGGAACAATATATTTTAAAAAAATAAATAAATGAATAAACGCACGAGGTGAGGAGGAGAAGGATGAGGAGCAGGGGGAAATCATGTGTATGGGAAATGTATGGCTGGAGGATTAAATGAAATATATATACTTTCTTTTCATCCCACTTCATATGAACTCACTACTGTTCCCTGGCCTAATTCAACACTGACCATTAACTTCTTTATTATATATATATAATGTGTGTGTGTCTGTGTACGTGTGTCTGTGTGTGCCCGTGTGTGTGTTTGTGAAAGGATATATATATATATATATATATATATATAGTCATCTACATACAACCCTGTTTCTGCAGTATCACAGCGCAACAGTGTGGCTAAACATCAGATTGCTTCCAGCCGGGACCGAAACTCAAACCAATTTGACATCAGTCCGAGATTTTATATATATATATATATATATATATATATATATATATATATATATATATATATATATATATATATATAATTAGGAAATCAACCAATTCTGCTACCTTGGTTTCAACTTTTTGCTATCTTCAGGGGATTTCGGTCAATTGATTTACTAACACTTTATTTTTTTAAAAATAAAAAAAATTATGAAAGTTATATTTAAAAATAAATAAATAAGCGCATGACGTGAGGTGTGGTAGGAGGTG